CACCACAACCAGATGGAAAGAAATCAGAGAAAGAGAGATGGATAAATAATTGAAGACAGGGATGGGGGGGGAGAGTAGGTCATAAAGAAAGGGGGAAATAAAACTGAAATAAGAGATGAAATGAAATGTAAGAAATCAGAAGTCAATTAGAGAGACTCAGAGGGAGCTGTAGGGAAGAAAGAAAGGAAGACAGGGCAGGAGTGGCTGGCAGTGAGTCAGTGTGATTCTTATGTGTTTTTAGAGAAATGTGTGTGCATCTATCCCACTTTCAGGAAAAACAGTTAAAGGAACACAATCTGGCTGTTTGAAATACACAGCGGTATAATTAGGTTGGTTGCAGCACAGTTATGATTAGACCAAACTCTCTTCGACTGAACTGAATAAGCTCAACTTTGACATCATTCTTTATGCATGCGTGATTCAATGTGTGTGTGTGTGTGTGTGTGTGTGTGTCTGCGTGTGTGTGTGCGTGGGTGGATTCGTGTTCTTGAGACTGAGAGAGAAAATTCAGAAACCAGTTTACCAAAAAAAGAAATAAATAAATAAAGAGTGCTGCCATCACACAGATCACACTAGAGTCGCATTTCTTTCAAATGACGCAGTTTATTTATATCCAAGTATAAAAATAATGTGAAATATGTACAAAACTTGTCAGAGTTTCATCGTAATCACTTCTTTCTGTCACTAACATTACAAATCCTGAGCATGACGATAATTAAATTGTATTAAAATGAACTGAACTGATTTTAATTGGATTTGGACTAGATCTTACATCATTGTATTCGATTAGGATATTTCTTCTTAAAGCTGCAGTATATAACCTGGCTGCATTAAGGAAAAATATGTTTTTTTTTACATATTTGTTGTGACAGTATAATATAAGACAGATAATCTGAAAAGATCGATCTCCTCCACCTCCTCCCTCCTATCCTGGTCATAAACAACAAATTAGAGCCCGGAGAAGCGCTGTCAATAATGCTTGTGTATGTGTTGCTAAATGTGCTAATGCCGGAGAAACAACTTTCTGTTTCAGGTTAATCTGTTGATAAAAATTTCTCAACACAAAGAGCTGGAAAAAAGAGCTATCATGTGTCGAGCATGTGATTTTCATAGTGTAGTTGTTTACGTGTGCATGTGTGGACAAATATATTAAAGAAACTGCTTTTGTGTAAGAGTATGTGTTGCAGTTTGGTAAATCGTGACTACTAAAGTTTTGATGTGTGTGCGTACATCTGTGTGTATATGCTTTCAAATCCTATGTGCATAACTTTTAACAGTCTGTGTGCTACTTAGTTCCTGCATATAAATGTTGCTGACTTCCCCTGCTGTCTGTGTGTGTGAGAAAGAGAGAGAGAGAGACAAAGAGAGAGAGAGAGCTTCCTGGTTTGCTCTGCGGTCGGCATAACGCTGCTCCTCTGTGCTTCTGGAAGTGTTTGTGAGAGGAAATAAAAGCTGTGCTTGGCGGCGAGGGGACGCTGGGAAATCATGGAGCTTCTGTTTACAACAAACACCAAGCGAAGTGGGACACTCAGCGACAGTCTTTGTGCATGTCCCTCCGTGTCTGCCCCACTCTGTCCAACTCCATCTCTCTCTGTCTGATCTCCTGTACGTCTCCGTCAGATAAACGCCGGGTGCTTTGGAGGCATAAATGTTGCATGAATTATTTTTCCAAAGCATCAAACAAACAGGCAGAAGTGAACTTTGCACTGCAGGAAAGATGCAGTTATTAGTTGTTGGATGCTGACCTCTGCGACTGAAGGACTGGAGTGACACTTGGCTTTGTGATGTGGACAAAAGTTTGTTTTTAAGTGTTTCAGAACGAATTTCAAATACAGGATGGATACAGTCAAAAGAAGTCATGACGGAAACATGCTTTTGAACTTTCCTCACATGTACACGACTGATTTCACTTCAATAATTCATCCCTCCTGTCTCGGCTGTCATTCTGTGACATTCTCTCATGACAGTCCTTTGTTTTTGGCATTTTCCTCTGATGCAGCAGAGGACGTTCGGACACTGAAAATAAAACTGGGCACGACGGTAGTTAGTAAACAACTTCCATTTTCAAGCTTCATTTAGATGTTTATTTTATTTTTTAGTATTATTTTCATGAAGACTCTCAATCGGCTTGTCTTTGTCAGTTTGTAGAATGAGTATGAAGAGGCATCAAAGTGATAAACACATTCACTGAGCCTTACTTTTGAGGAAAGAAATATGGATGTGCATCTGAAATCGGGTTTTCTTCAACCCTGTCCTGGCAGTTTCAGATTTTTGAGTAATATTTTTACTCAATAATTGTGTACTGAATAGGACTGCAGAATTAATCTGAATATTTTATTTATTTCACTCCCATACAATCAGAAAAACAACATAATGAACAACTATTATTAAAAATACGATTTTGTCAGTTTCTGAGGAAATAGTGCAAAAAAGACTCCCGTTTAAAGAGGAAAATGCAATAGAAATTGTAAAAATATGAATGTGATTTAACAAATCCGAGGTTTTCCTAAAACAAATCAAGTTTAACACCACTTCAATGACATTCACTATGAAAAAACAGCTACAGAAAGATTGATTTCTGTATTACTTATTCAGCTGAAAATCTGGTCTCCATATCAAAAATACTCTTTATTTTGGAAGATATTGCTGTAGGAAAACCAACATTTTTTTCTATTTTTAGTATTGAAGTTGTGTTTAAAAATAAAGTTAGAGGAATGAAATCCTAGATAAAAATATATGTTTTCTACATGACAGCTGTTTATTCAGGCTGCTACATCTACAGAGTTAGCCGAAGTTTGGCAGATATTGGTACATTTCCTCCTTCGCCATTTTGTTGTTTTACAGTTTTGGTTGATTTATATCCAAATAATTATTATTTGATGATGATAATAATAATAATAATAATAATAATAAAATAATAATAATACTTTAATAATTATTATTATTAGGTTATAAAAGAAGTAAACTGTACAGGATGTCACACTTGATTGAACTTCACTTGGTACCATTTGATTTATCTAATTATTTTTAAAACATTAATCCTCTGGACTTGAAAATGTTGGAAACCTTTGACTATTTTTGGTAATGCTAACAATGGTAGTCATGCTTGTATACCTTGACATAAAGAAAGTGTAAAACAACTTTAAATAATTTTGTTTTTGGTTCCTAATTTAAATGACTAATGAACACTAATGAAATATTGGAAAACTAAAATAATTACTGTCGCTGTTTTTACAAAACCTGGATCTTAGAAATCAGCTTCTCAATTAATTTAGAAGTTCTTGGCAATTTTAATTTAATTTAGAAAATACATAAAAAGACAAATGTAAACAAGAAGAGTAGTTAAAGACATGCATTTTTTTGCTTTTGCCTTATCTGAATTCAGTTTCTTAAGCGCTACGGTAAGTCACAAAGGTCACAAAACCTCTGAATATTTTTTGACATTTTACTTTGAAATTTTTTCATAATAATTCCATCGAGCTCAGAGGAACACCCATTTTTGCTCCTATCCAGGTTTTGCCCTTTGCTGCCATTTTCGAAATATCAAAAATATTCACTTGGCCTACAGAGCACAAAGAGCAGCAGATATGCATGCAGGCATGCATGTAAACACAGACAATGTTCTTATGAGCCCACATGGAGACGGCATGCCCTCTCCTGCCTGAGAACGATGGTGGAAATGGGAGCGCGCTGCAGCCCAGAGGCAGAGCTGCACCATGAATACAAGGAAAGGGTCAGCGCGGCGGTGTTTGGAGTGGGGATTCAAAGAATCAACGCTCCAGGGTTCAAATGGCTGTAGTTTGGGGTTACAAATATTGCAAGCCGACTGCTCGTTTTGACATAACGTTGCTTCGCTTTCAGGAAGATCTGTTCAGCCTCAGGCGGCCATATTAAACTTGTACTGCGAGGAAACAGATATTGCATTCCCTTGTCTAATAAGAGGATAGGAGAGAGAACTTGAACTCCTCACAATTATGTTGCTTTACATGTCGACCTGAATTCCAGCGAAGTTACTGCATTAAAGTTTATGCTTAATAAGAGTGTCATCAATGGTGTTGTTTACTGTGGCAGTTATTTTTCTTAACCACGATTAGCTAAGGAAAGAAATTCTGAGAGCTGCACTTTGCTGCTTTATTTTTCGCTTTCCCTCTCACATCCTTGATTTTACTGAAAATGTGTGAAGTGCTTGTAAAATAGACATTCACCTGAAAGCCAACACCTCAGCGTTCACAAGAGAGAGACGAGAGGCATATCGGGATAGAGACCAGCCATAAGGTACAATCAGTCATGACTGGAGTGTCTTGAATTGCAGAAGCGACGAGAGCTTTGGGTTCGATTTGCATGAAATGCAGCTTCCTATTCTAGTCCAATCAAATCCTTTTTATGAACATAGCAACTATCGGGTTGATGTCACCTTTCTTTCTAAGATGTGATCTCACTGCAAGACATATAGTTACATGCGAAATGACATCTCTGAGGTGATGTTAAAACCCTCACAAAGTAGTGACCAACGATAAGAGAAAACGTTGGTTTGAGGGCTTTTGTTAATGCCAGTTTCTGTTTTTGGCCATCAGAGGCAAAAACAGAAACTGGGATTATATTCCCAAAGAGAGATAAAATGGTTGGTCAAAAAACTAAAACATTCTCATCTTAATTGAATTTAGCCTGTTCTTTAGTGACTGGACATTTACTTACTAATTAAGTTTGAATTAATTGGGATACTTTGACAGAATTTGTTGGCTTTGCAAAAATGAGTCATTTGTTCTTAAATTTTCCACTAATCTGTAAATGTCTCTTTAAGCTTTAATTCCTGGATTTTATCAAAGATTTTAGTACAGCTACTACATATGAATATTAATACTATGCCTCATATTTAATGTTGTACTAAGATTTTACTATAACACATATACTTTCTTCTTAAGTGATTTGAATGGCTCGAGATATCAGATGTCACCAAAGCTTTGCCTGAGGAGAAAAAAGACCAAAATGGATAAAAGTGATTATAGAGGATAATATGATTAGGCATCCCTGGTTTTTATTGTGAAGCTCCATCTATTGTACCAGTGGGTCATTATGTGATGCGAGTGTGAGAGGAGGAGAACATCTTCCCCCAGGGTGATGATGCTGGGATGGAGACGATGGAGAAGATGAGGCTGAAAGAGACGGCCGAGCTGCAGAGACAGCCGTGATGAAACGGGATCTGGAGAAGTAAAGAAACACGAAACGATGGTTCCATTAAATCATCCAAATTTTAGCAAAACGATGTACAAAAGAAATATACAGAGGAATATTTAAATATGTTGTAAAAGCCAGATGCATAAACTCCTTAAGCTTGTTGTTGTAATGTAATAAACTGTACATGATTTTAAGCAGTGACATGCACATGTACTGTTGACTGTAAGCCTACAAGGCAACAAAGACTAAGCAGCAAGAAGAGAGTAGTCTGAAACAAGAGAAGAGGAAAAGGAGAAGATATTAGGGTGTGTGTGTGTGCGTGTGGGTGTGTGTATTTGGGAGGGGGGGACAAGTAGGGTGGGTTTCCCATAGGGTTAATTACATCTCTGTTCTCTGTCAGTGTGGCTTTCTCCTCTGCGATCTGAGTAGCCGCTTCAGGCTGACAGGCCACACACGACATGCCCACATTCACAAAAAAATGCACACAAAAATACTCCCACACACACATTCACCATTAAACATCACGACACAAAAACAGAAAAATGTTCCTCCTGCTCCTACTTTTTTTATTTCTCTCCTCTCGCTGAGAGAAACTGTAAACTCGCAGAGGTGCATCCCAGGAGAAAACTTGTTGTTGAGAGCCGAGTTCTACACGCAGAAGAAAGCCTGTGCTTGTAATAGCTGTTAATTTTGCATAAATCATGCAGAACATGACCCACATGTAAATCACTCATGTCAGCAGGATATCACTTCCCAGCAGCTTCTTCTTCTTCTTCTTCTCCAAGGGGAACAGCTTTACTTTTCATTGTTTTGTCTCATCTATTATGTTTATCTTTGATTTTTTTTTTCCCAAGAACAATGACATAATCTATCAATATTTGACATAGATTTCAGGATGCAATATGTTGTCATGTTGGTATTCACACAGCAGTAAAGCGAAACTAGTTGATCAGATGCTAGAAATATATTTGTGTTTTTTCTAGCTGAGAAATAAATGTACTATGGATTTGTGGTTCACAAAACTATGTCTGCAAGGGAATTTATCAAAGAAGTGACATCTATCAAAACATATCTCTTCACAACACAATATTTTAGGGTTTATATTTAGACATTTAGCTTTGCCCAGAGCCTCAGTCGAACAAGTATTTGACAGCTTTCAAAATCACGGAATTAGATTCATTCATCTCCGTGTTCTCAATAAGCAAGGAAAGAAAAAAGAAACAAAAAATAAGGAAACAGATTTTTTGAAAAGCTTATTCCCTTTCCTATTGCCTAAGACTTCTTTCCCTTTTATCCATCCATCTTATTTTTTTCCTTTCCTCCTTCCATGTTTGGATCTTTCCAGGTTCCATATTTGAATCCAGTCCAGTGGATAAATACCTGCCTTAAAATGACTGAACAATTGTATTCATACTTCATAAATAGGGCTGAAGAGAACAGCCAGAGTTTCCAGAGTTTTCCATAACTCTGGAAAGTTATGGAAAAGTCTACTGAATCACTGTCTGACAGACTGTGTACGTCTGAAAGGAACTTCAAACCTTTATCAACCCTCTCCTCACCCTAAACTCTTGGGTGAACAAAGATCGCCCCAACAGAAGGTGTGTGACATACAGAAGGTCACAAAGACTGTATAGATTAGTTCCTAAAGGGTAATGTGGTCTATTTCGTATGTTAATGTTTATGACACCATCAGGAACAAAACACTGTGTGTGGCAGGTCTGGAAGGGCCTTCAGAAAATAAAAGAAACTTTTCTTCATTGTTAAACATTGGGTCTATTTTGTGACATCAAGCCAACAGTGAGAATGAAAGGATCAATTTTAAATGAACCGAAACTCTAAAGTCAAATTTCACATCTGTCACAACAGAGAGAAGGTATTCCTGAGCAACAGTAACTCTAAGCACTCAATTTGCTTCCAAGTGAATTTAGGATTTTAGTTCAGTAAAAATGTTTGTTTGAGAAATCCCACCAGCGTTCCAGAGTGAGATCTGTTCTGTGCAGAGCAAACAGCTCAAACTGCATCAAGCTGCATGACTGGATGAAACGGAAAATGCTTCAAAATACTTACTGCTACTGAAGGCGACTGCGTCACGTCACAACAGCAAAGATTTCCATACATTTTCCATACATCATGTGATCAACAACACGATGTTACTACTGGTGGAAAAAACGAAGAAGACGACAGGAAGTGGTAGAAGAATTATGGTTTAACAGGATTTTTAATGGAAACGCAGCTAGTGTTAAGGTGTTTTGTAAAAAATTGAACCTTACACTACAGCTCTGTAAAATATGTGTGGAACAACAGCATCAAGTTTTACCCACTGGTACTTCTATGATTTATCTTTGGCAGTGAGGTTGGAGGGCCTCCTTCCCATGACCATAGTCTTTAACTTCCTCCAGATTCTTTGCCATATTTAAGGGCTGCATCACTCCAACGTGTTAATATTACTTTCACTCAGAAGAAACATATTGGTACAATTAAATGATGACATCAAACATAAATCTGCCAGGTATATGATATAAGTTGGGCTTAGCTGTACATAACCCACTATACTCAGACTATGTTATGATTTTGAGTTGCTGATGGAATTTCTTTCACCTATAACCACATTTTTCCCCCCAAAAGAACAAATATGTGAAATTATTAACAGGAATATGTCTTAGAATTATCTCGGTATTTAATCATTACAGATACATTTTCTTCCTAATGTTGCAATAAAAAGTTATCCTGAATGAGAGTATGTATGCACAAGGGAAACTCTTTGAAATTTCTTTCATGAGCTTAATTTTAACCGAAGCCAAGCAGCCTTCTTTAATAACAAGGAAGTGCTTTAAACCAGATTTTTCCCTAAATTTTAAATGAAAACACAGATACCAGCAGGCAGTCGCTGCAGTTGTCCTCTGAAATCAGAAGCAAAGATAAAGAAACATCAAAGCCCTCCTTGTGAGAAGTCTGGAGATCCCGGCCCCTCTGTAAAGGAGCTATTCACACAAATAACACAACATGTGTAATCCTCCTGACAAATCAGTAAATCTCTCTGTTCTGTGCACCTTTGTGGTTGAATCCCGCAGAGATGCGTCCCTCAGATCCACGGCCTGCTTTATTAACCAGTTTTTTGCCTTAATTAGCTAATAGGATTGTTTTAACCATGATCCAAGAACAGAATAGCCCACGGGAAGACAAACACCGACTCTGTGGAAGTGTGTGTGTGTGTGTATGCATGCAAGACTGAATACATACATACGCCTGTATTCTCTCTGTCAGGAGTGAGTCGATGAGTTGTGTGTGTTAATGTGCACAAGCGCATACATTTGGTGTGATTGAGCGCCGCTTGTGCCTGAGTGTGCATGCACGAGCCCTTTCATGTGCGTGTGCATTTGTAATCTGAGGCAGCCACCACTCTCTCTCCTTCTCTCCGCCTTAATTAACGGGGCTTCTTGCGAGACTTTCCTCCGGAATATGAAACAATTTTACCTGATGATGCAAACAGCTGAAAACACTGCCTCTCTTCGTGCCTCGACTCTTCACCTAACACTTTCTTTTTATGCGAGAGCGTTAATGGCTGCCAGTGCTACACTTGTAGTTTTTATATCTGTGTCTTTTAGTGGTGCAGCAATTGCCAAAAGGCTTATTTTGCTGCAGGAAATGTGTGTATGTAAGCAAAATCCTTTGTACTGTGTGATGAAAAAAGCTGTATCACAGCTCGGCAATGATGTTCCTGCAGCACAAGAGCTGGCTTACACATCCATGGACAGATGCACACAGTCCAACACACACATTTGAGCCTTGGAGAGGTCCAAGGAAAACCTTGGAAAGAGGGCAAGGAGGAGACAAAGCAGCGGCAGAAGGCACAGAGGAATGACAAATATGGGAATTTAAGAAACTGAGCTGTGAGCGCAGCCAAAATATTGAAATGATTAATAGGATTTTATAAAGTAAAATCTCTAAATCCCTGTGTGTCCTTCCCCTTGGCTGATACAGTATTCATGTGGACATACAGTTCCCAGCAACAGAATTCATATTTCTTTGACATTCTTACATTTTTTTTATGTTACAACTGCAAATGTCCATTTTATCAACTATTTATGCGATAAACCAACAAATCAACACATTAATCACAATTAATTCTTTCAGCTCTACACTAAATCTCTCCATAACTCATAATATCCCAAGAAAATGCACTAAAGTTTATGGTTATAACATTATAAAATGTAGAAAATCTAAAGGAGAATAAATACTTCTGCAAGACTCAGGGACTCCGCTCAGACAGGATTTATGCTGAAATGCCCTCATGATAAAAACAAATACTAAAATCAGACTATAAATATACTACATACTCAATGAAAGCACATAACAAATTACTCCAGCTGCCATTATATAGACAGACATGAGTCAATAAGATCAGAGAGGCTGTGTGTCGCTCAATGCGGCATAATAAAGGATGGCAGCTCATGGCCAAGACGCAATGAACAGATCCTAAAATTGATTTCCCTCTTTGTCCTTCTGTTGCAGTGTGCTGTGTGCGATTCTCCCAGGAGCCGGCCGACCAGTCAGTGGTGCTGGGAGAACGAGTGGTGCTGTCCTGCGTGGTCTTCAACTACACGGGCATCGTCCAGTGGACCAAGGACGGCTTGGCCTTGGGCATCGGAGAAGGTCTTCGAGGTAAAGGGAGGGCGAAGAAACTGTGTAAAATGAGGAGGGGGGAAAAAAGAAAAGGTCCCGCTTTATGCAGCTGCAGAGATCAAAGCGGAGTAAAGAGGAGAATTAGTTTAGATATGGTTTCGGTTCAGTTGGGGCAAAAAGAAACCTGGGAAAAAGGTGTTATGGTTGAAAAGTTTAGTTTTTACAGAGGTGATTGGTGTAGCGTGCAGGAGAGAGTTAAATGCTCAAAAGTCTTCACTAGTGACAATCTGGGCAAAAATGAGTCCGGCGTATCATGGTGAATTAGAGAAAATCCCTCACACTGCTCATAAAAGCAGACACGCATTTGCATTTACATTTTAAGCCGACACGCACATCCGGACCAGCTTATTGAGGGCGAAACAGAAGAATATCCTTCAGTTCAGAGGAAGGGAGAGCGTCACATGAAACCAAAAGAAGTCAGAGTTATGGGGTCAAACCTTTTCCACACAGAGAAGCAGCTCTCTCTGGTGATCAAAGGGACCAGAAATGAAAAAGTAATGAGTTAGAGGTCAGAAAAAAGTAAAAGAACTTACCACAGTTATTTACATGAACAAGATTTTGGCCACTGTGGATCTGCTGGTACGTAAATATTTTAATTCAAGACACATGTTTGGCAAGATTTTCAGTTGTCAAATGGAAATCAGCTCAAAAAGAGCCTAAGATCTTATCTGTATATATTTAACAGTTTAGTGCAATGCGAGTAAGAATAAGTCTTAAGTCAAGACTTAAAACATATTCTGATGAACTAAGAATCATACATTAGTTGGAATGCTTATTTTTTAGTAATGCATTCATTTGTCTCTTTTTGATCGACACTGGCTACATGATGATGAAACAGAGTCTTTAGCAATATCTTAGGGGAAGATAAGAATGTCCCTTGTTTATTGTTTGTTTGTTTTTGTAATAGTCAGTATTTCACACCATAAAGTGAGTCAATACATCAGTTCAGGTTTCACTTGTACATTTATTCTGTGTTACACTCCTATAACTCTAAAGTAGTGCTAATGCAAAATAAACATTAAATATGCTCCTTTTTTGTGTCAGTTTGGCTTTAGAAAATCCCTGTTCAGTGTAAAAATGTTCAATATGTTTGATTTTCATCTACAGATTATGAATTGCAGCTGAGACTTATTAAAAAACAATGAAATCACCCTTTAGTCTTCAGGAGTTGACGGGAAGGTGAAGTAGATGCCAATAGCATTGTTAGCGGCTAACAGCTAGTCATTTTTGACATTTCCACGGTGCAACAGAACAGATCACTCCTTCCTCGTCTATCACCGTGTTTCAGTTTCATCCACCTGGTGCCAAAAATGCAGACAAAAAATCAATTAGGTCTTCTTTACAGCTTTTCTAACACTGTCACTGCCGAGCCCATCTTTATAAAGACTGACTGGTGTTACATGATGAGACAGATTAAATGTAGAACTGCAACTATGTTTCTTCAAAATCTGTGTCCAAATCTATCTCAAAGATCCGTTTTGAAATCAAAGTTAAATGTTGATTTTATTTACGTTTTTCCTCTGTTTTGTTAACTCGTGTGAGTTTCTAACACTCCGATATTGGAAAGCATTCTTTGTTTACAGCCTTTTTTCACACCTGTTGAAAACTGTTGCACAGTGCTTTAGCACAGCCTACTAAAAATACCAATTATCTACTTGCTACTGGATAGCCTGGGAGTTTCCTAACGTTGCAAATGAATGTTGGTGTCTGGAGAGAGCTGGAGTTGAAGTGGTTCAAATGTAGCTTTCTGTTCAACTGTCAGGAAATTCAGGAAAGGAAAGTAAGTCTTGACCCAGGCTCCGTTCACCAAGGGAAGATAAACTGCTGATTCAGACTGATATCTTCTGGCAGTGAAGAGAGCACTCTGAGGAACTCCTGAATCCCACCAACACATCCTCTGTCAGAAGAGGCAGAGCGTCAGAGGAAGTTAAGAAGCTCCTTAATGACAAGGTGCTGCGCCTGGATAACATTCTCCCAGAGCCGGTAAAGGCTCTGACACTGAAGTGTAGCTCCGGCTGACATGACTTTTCAAATCACGTGGAGGTCAGGAAAGTGCCAAAAAAAGGGCAGGCAAGAGAGGCACAACGCTCACTGTCCACAAGTAAGCTAAGAAAGATTTCTGAGAAAGAACTTCATGTATGATGTTCACATGCAGAGCTCGACCATCATCACCCTTCACAGGATCACTTCGACTATATGCCCTAAACATGTTTTCGTGCCATTTATAACACTACAAATGAATTCATCTGGTCCCCGATCAGTTTGAGTGATACAAAGTTCTAAAATGTATTATGACAAATTAAAACTTTCTTCAAATTGACAATTTCAGGTAAACAAAAGTATTTGTACTTTTTGCTTTAAATTCAATTTAATTGAAAATAGGCTCAGACACATTTAGCCACTTTTACTCAAAAATCACACCTGACATTCATTAAACCTGGCCAAATACAGCAGGCATCCAGTTATTGTTGCTCTGCCATGATTCGTTTCCTGAACAAAAGGAAAAGAAACAATCCACCCCCAACAATGAGGAAAGTATACATTTCTTAATATGCATGTTTAATTTATTGTAGGTAAAACAAAAAATAAATCAAAACAACTTTACTCTGCATTTTGTTAATCTGATTGAGTAGTTTCAATTCAACAACTTTGGCCTAAATGTTAAAAAGTTTGGACATCTCTGCTGCAGAGATTGAATGGGGAGGGTTTGGGGTTTTGAGGCAGAGGTGGAGGATGGGTGTAGATCATATGATTTAAGAAAGAGCTGAAGACATGAACTCTGACCTTTTCAGGAAGCAAAAATATTGATGAAATAGTTCTCGTATTCACTAAATCCAGCAGCAAAACTACTTGGCGTTAACTTCTTAGCATTGCAGTTTCGTGTCATATATTTGGAGCAGCGTATTAGTTTATCAATCCATTAATTATTAATAAGCATAGGGAGCCTTACACTATATGTGAGTGAGAGAGGAAGTAAAAGAACAAAAGCTGCTCAATAAAATAAGAGTTTTCTGCTGTAGTAAAACAAAACTTCTGATGGTGACATTTCTGATTGCGAGGCTGTTTTTTTATTAACTTTATTTAGTGATCAGCATGTTTAACTCGGGTATAACTGAGCAGGCTCTTGGTATATGTTCCAGACTATAAATATGACTCTACGGCGTCAAAATCTTCCAGCAGGCCGCCGACATTTCCAAATCCTACGTAATCCACGGCAGATAGAGGTTGAAGGCTCAAAAGGATGAAATAAAGGAACTTTCTGTGATCCTGTTGCTGCTGAATCCTCTTGTTCCTTCTCCGTTGAGCTCGGTGTTTCTGAACGAAACTCTCTCCTCAGTTATAATTACAATAGCAGACAATTTTTAAATCTATAACTGTTTGCACAAAACACATAGCAAAGAGCTAAAATGTACTTTTTTTTCTCTCCTTACCAAAATATTGTCGAACGAAACCACACTCTGCTATTTACTCTGCTTCCATTTTTCATTATTAGGAAATCTGGAAAATCTGATCAATTTTACCGACAGTTTTTGGCTGTGAGCTTGTTTGTTTGGATTGGTTTCGAGTCTGTTTAGCACATTATTTCACTGTTACATTCTGCAAACCTGCAGCCTCGAAGTTACAGAAGGACGTCTTTAGCCTGTTATCAAGCAAACAGTCCAGCTCGGCATGCGCAGGGTCACACTGTGATGGTTTAACATGTGACGGCGATCTGGTGCTCAACTCATTTTACCTCGCAGGTTCAGTAACGGTCAGCAGATCTTTTTTCTGTTACTGCCCCTCATCGTCACTTTCAGCTTCCCAGATTCCCTCTGTTGCTTCTCCTTCCTCTTCCTCGCATCCGTTTCTCCTCCTGCTCTCTGTTGGTCATTAATGCTCCCTTTGTCCTTGTAGCCCTTCACAACACTGTCCTGCTGAAGACCACTCTTAATAAGCATGTTGTCCTCTTTGTCTGCTTTTTCTTTGCTTTTCGGCCATCCATCACTGCCTCCTGGCCACCTTTCAGACCCAGCTGCCATTCCTTCCTTCATCCCCCGCCTGATATTTATGTTTATGTCGTGCTCTTGACCGGCATGTCCAGCATATTGGAAGGCTGTAATTTATTTAAGTGTGTAATGAATATATTATGAGCCAATGAAGTGGTGCAGGTGCATGATGTACGTTGGGTAAAAGAGGTTTTTGGGAAACGTGACCTGCATGGCTAAATGTGGCTGTTTTGGACAAGTGTAGGCATACATTGTGCTGCAAATTCAAACCTGCAGCTCACCCACGCGCGTGCCTTTCATTCAGCTAAACAGCTCAGCAGCACTTAGTTGTGCAGACAGATATGAAATGCGTTCAGTTGGAAGAGATTCCTATATAATCAATGCACAGGTGCACATTTAGAGCAGTGAATTCCTATGAAACACAATCATCCGTTCTCCACCTGCAGACGTCAGTGGTATCAGTTTATTGTTCTTCCTCCTGCTCCTTCTTCCCCTTCTCCCTGGGGTGCTTTCACCTCTGTGGTTGCTATGCTGCGAGATGCTGGAGTGGGTGATGTAATCTCCACTAATACTTTTGCCACCCCCCCCCTGCACCCCCACCTTCTCCTCCTCCTTAACTCGCCCTCCCAACCCGCCACCCTTCTTGTTTCTCTCTCTGCGCCCCAACCTGCCTCCCTCCCTCCTGAATCCATGATGTCATGGGAGGATCAGGCATGCAGGATCAATGAGTGCCCCCTAGTGGGACGTCACGCTCAATTATGTCTTTGTGTGAGAGGCGATGGTTCAAACATAATGGAGGGGGTGTGGGGGGTGCTGCTGTAATTGGAAGAGTGCTGCCTGTAGTTTTGCAGTTTTCAAATCACACAAGGATTGATTTGGCACTTTTCGTATATGCGACTGTGTTTGATCCGTCTTTCTGCAGATGTTTATCTATATATTAGTGAATGTGTGTGTGTGTTTTTACCATCTTATGCGTATGAAGGAGGCTCATTT